AGTAAGGAGCACAGTTAACCCCGAAAGTGACCGTCTTCAGCTCGTAACGACTGATCGGTTCGTTCGTATTGGTACGAAAAACTATGCGCTGGAACTTAGTGTGATTGTCATGCACCATAATTTGCCGGTACATCTTCTCGATGTCGCTGTTGAAGACGTATTTATATAATCTCCAACGTAGGATTAATATGGGAAGATCCGCCTGGAGTACTGGTCATGGGAGCAGTACATCATTGAGGCTTACACCATTTGCCGTCGGACTTGAGGCATTAAAAACCACGCGAAGTTTTGTTGACGTGCTTTCTGCCTTGATGACCGCGTGATGAGGCAGGAAATAGTTGTCGGAGGACTCTGCTGGTATATTATTTATTAGCTTTGACATATGCCCTAACGCTTCGTATTCCGATAATACCCTGTTATATTCCTTTTGTAGTCCAGGATCCTTGGCCAATCGCGTCTCGTGTCGGAAAAATTGTGAGCACGCTCTTTTTAGGGAGGGTCCTAGGCAGACATTCTCTGGAAAATCCTGCCTGAATGGTAGCGAAACTACATATTTCCCGTCTTGGGTACGTTGAGTTGTATTCTTGTACAACTCCTCACAGTACTTGTCTTCCTCACTTAGGCTTTTGCTCTTCGGCAGATCCTCTACTTCCCAGAACGCAGTAAGCTGCTTATCCAAGGCGACTTCGCTAAAGTATGAAGCAATATGGTTGGTTGCACTTGTTGCATCTGGGCGGCCGGTTAATATCCAACCGAACACGGTTTCTTGGGCTAGAAGAGTATTAAGTACATTTTTCTTCAAGCCGCTCAAAATGATTTCTGGATAAATATCTCCTCCAAGCACAAGGTCCACTTGCTCATTAACAAAGAACCTTTTATCGGCCAAAACCAAATCTGGGAATGCTTGTTTAGTTTCAGCGCTAATATGGGTAGTTGGAAGATTTCCAGTTAGTTGTGCTAAGACAAGCACAGTGGTATTCGACCGGAATAATGGGTCAATCGGTGACCGTATTTCTATATTGCATGCTTCTTTGACCTGCGCCGATATGGAATTTGTGATGCCGGAAACTTGGGCATGCAACCTTTTGGATGGCAGGTTGATTCGGCGTTTGAGTCCTTCCGTTATAAAGGAACACTCAGACCCGGAATCAATAAGAGCTCTTGCAAAAAAATCGGTTCCATTATAATGTATATTTACGCACGCTGTTCCTAGGAGCACACCATTATTTGAATTTGCAAAACAAGACTTGACATTTTTGTCCCCAGTTGAATTTGGTTTTCCTGTCTTGCGTCTTGTTTGTGCTTGCTTCGATGAAGATGCTCGATTACCAGTTGAGCTTGGCGGCATTTGGTGCGCTGTAGGCTTTTGCTGGTCAGTCTCAAGGTGCAGGAGCGTGTGGTGTCGGGAGTGGCACTTGCTGCAATTAAACGAGCATGTGCATCTTGACACCGTATGTCCAGACTTAAGACAGTTCAAGCAAGAGTTATTGTTTTTCATGAACTCTATTCTTTCAGATGGTGTCATCTTTAAGAAGCGGGAACAGCTGCGTAACTTGTGCTCATTGGACTGGCACATTATGCAAGTGAACTTGGTCACGCTTGCTTGGAAAACGCCAAGTCGTTTTGGGGAGGCTTCTGCTGGTTTGTGTGTGTGCTGCGGCTTTGGCCCTCTCACAGCTTTGGAATTTTTTAAGCCTGATAAAGTCTCCAGCGTTTGAAATCTGTTGGATAGGAACTTGTCCATATCCTCCCACATTGGTATATCATTTTTGTGGTCTATGGTTTGTTCCCATAGAGCCAGCGTACTTTCTGGAAGTTTGGTGGAGCAGAGGTAGACTATAATTGCATCCCAGTTTGAAACGTTAATTTGGTGACTGTTTAGGGACGATAAGCAATTATTTATATCCCGCTGCAACCTTTTTATTGAGCTACCACACTCATTATCCACTGAATTTAAATTGAAAAGTATTTTAAGTTGTGTATTTACGAGGATACGCTTGTTTTCATATCTCTCGCATAAACTTTTCCAGGCTGTTTGGAAGCCTTCGTTTGTGAGTGGACACTTTCTCACGATGTCTTTGGCTTCCCCTTGAGTCTTTTGGTTGAGATGAAATAGTTTCTCAACCGGAGTGAGGCGCTTGTTAAGGATGTATATGGCCGTGAACATATCACGAAATGATGGCCATGACAGATAGTCACCCTTGAACACATCGGTATCACACGGAGGTAGGTGGATATTGTGTTCACGGACCGACTGATCCTGTACATCCTTTTCTGCGTTAACAAGCGTTTCGGACTGACTCGCCATGGCAGACATGCATTTAACATAGCTGGCGAACGAGCTTTTATGTTTTCTCCTTATGGCCTTAATGTCTTCTTTCGACAACCCTTCTTTGTTTATTATAGTATCATACCCTTGTTTAGTTTTTTCCCACATATCTTTCAGTTCGTCTTGCTGTATTGCAAGACCATGTTTATTTTGCTCTGCAGGTGGCGTGCTGCTAAAATCGGATTCAAATTCGATTATTGCCTCTGCCAAACGAATGAACGACTCCATGTTTAAAAATGGTACTTGAATTAAAATCAATCACAGATAAATTCGACGATGTGCTTTAATATGTGATAGCAACCTTACTCTTAAACAAAAATAAATGCTTAGATTATCGAATTTGTTCGCCAAGTATTCAATAAACGAAAGTTTCTGCCGCTGAAAAAGATACCAACTCTTGTGGTCGAAACGCCAAACAAAAGATATAATTTCCGGAATTGAAGAAGTAGCCGTTAAATTTATATATAAAATAGTTATGGTAAAACTTTATTTAACTCAATATATTTCTCTCTTTCAATTATCAGGGATTGGTATATATAAAGGCTGTATATATGCTGTATATATAAAAAGTGACTCGCCACCCAACTGCTATTAAGTATGTGTGTAATTTGCAAATACGTTCACAAGACAATAATAATACTCGCAAATTAATACTGCAAGGGATCCACACGCAGCAGTGATTTTGTGAAGAAAATGCAATTGTTAAAGGCAAATTACCGTGCACGTTTCAAACAAAGAGGTTATGTGTCCTCCGACGATCAGTGATTATAATGTGGTTCGCGAATTTATTGCAACTATTGCTGCACAAGTAATAATACGTTTTACTAACAATAAAAATTAAATCCGTGGTGAAGTAATCAAAAGACCGGCAGAGTCAATTACATATATTACAAATGAATTGCAACTGATAACCTCTTTTCACTGTCGTTTATGTGTGTATGTGTGTGTATCTTCAATTGTCTGTTACCAGCCGTGGACAGACAGAATCGGTTCGGGAAATTATTTGAACTAATTGAATTAAACAAATGATATCAACGCAACTGAAAATTAATTGACTGCAATTGAAAATGTGCACTTTGCAACCAATCTGAGCCGTCTTTGTCACTCGCGGACAGACGGAATTAGCTCGTTTGGTAATTTGAAAAGCTATGCACAAATTTTCGCTCCTCACAAAATCACCCGCGTGAATCTCGTTTGCAATTGCGTGTGTTTTCTATGCAACATAAATATAGCACAATTGCTCACAAAATAAATAGATTTATGATGTTTTATTTTTTTTGAAAGTGCACTTGAATATGTGTGTAACCACGTACCTTACGACTGGTTGGTTTCAATGTTGAGGAGTTGATGCTGGAAAACTTTTAAATTTGTGGCGCAGACGTGGTGTCCTGGTTAATTCGCTTTTGTGGCAAACTCGCTTTGACGGTGGACTGTATTTCTGTGGTTTCGCTGGTACTGCAATGGTCACACGGTCCCAAAATGGCGCTGGCAATATTTATTGTTAGTCGGACGGCTCCGAAAGGACCAAATGATTACACGGGGGCGTGGTGGAATTACGCTCCGGTGTAAATATAGCAGAAAGAAATAAATAGAACCAAGATATTGTGATTTTAGTTTTAATTCAATACAGGGTCAATTTATTTCAATATATATATATATCTGTGGGTATAACAAAATATTTAAATACCTTTGGACTGGAGTGGCCTGGTAGCTGCTGAGTACTCGTTGAACTGCTAAAACCGAAGTGAAAAATATAATTTGCGGTTTCTAAGTTTGGACCGCCAGACAATAACTGACGTGAAGGGGAAACTTAACGAAGGTTCATTGTCCGGCGGGATACATTAGTTAACGGCTTAGCTGTTGTTAATATACACGAGCATGTATGAGTGTATATACATGTACATATGTACATATACCAGCATTAGGGCGGTTCATCAAAAGTACGAAAAACTATTTAGGCTGAAGGCCTAAACATGCCGGCCCCCCTGAGCCAGCAGAGGCCCGAAGGTAGCTATTCCTCCGACGGCCGTGGTCAAAATTGAGGCGGGAGGGCGCTTGCATTTAATCCGCGCGCTTATTGACGTCTGCGCTCCAACGACTATTGTATCTGCGGATCTGGCCCGCGAGCTACGGCTAAAGCAAACACGAGCCGGCGAGCAAACGGGCAGTCTCGTATGTCTCCGAGGGAAATACGGCC